CCACATAACACTAACTTTAAGATATTAGTGTGTACATTTATTTTATCTACGTAGCTAGCTAAACTCAGAAGCTAACTAAAGATTGACAATAACAGATGAAGCTTAGCTTGTAAAACTGCTCATCTATCCAGTCAGCTGCTTAAACAGTTCACCTAATGTTCACCGTTTGTTTATCTTCTCCTCACGGAGCCTCTGACCCAGATGTGAGGACAGAGAGACAAAAGAAAAGCGAGGTGGGGGCCACAGGACAATCGCAAACTTTGTTGTTAAAAGTTTGCCTTTTTCTACAGTAGAGGCTGCATGGTGGAGGTAAGTTAAGCTGTAAAGGATTTTGTTGACCAGTTAAGCTTTTATCTCAGCCTATAGAATGTTTTTTGATCAATAATAACACAACCATGTTATTGTTGATGTGTTGTTCTCATGTCAATTAGGGAGATGATCAGAGCCCTAAACCCCAGAGGACCACAGAGAAGATTCAGGAAGAGAAACAGAGGTGCAGATGTCTGCCATCAACCCTAACCTCAGTGAATCCAGTAGGTAGCATGCTGGTAGGATGTGAGGGACAATATGTCAGTGCTATTAAACTGACAACCAGGTATCTGTGTGTGCAACAGTCATCATCTACAGCCTCAGAGTGAACATTTTCTACTGCTGGAGACACCATCAGCCAGGAGCAGGAATGTTTGTGTCCAAAGAAAGCAGACATGTTGATTTTTCTGAAGAAAAACTGCTAAGTGAAAAAGGTCCTCAGTGTGTAGCAGTGAGCATTAGACACTGACGTGTCACTGGTTTGAAACTGTTCTTTTGAACTGGAAATTTGTTTATTTTTATGTAAGAAAACTGCTTGGAATAGAAATACCAAAGTTAAAAATAAAATTCACAATGTGTACTGCAACGTGTAACGCAATTTTATTCTTGTTAGAATTAATAGTAATTACAAAATTGGTACAGAAAAAAGAACTGTCCAGGAACCGACACCGAAGTGAAGGTACCGACACCGGTACCAATTTTTTTTTAGGAAGGTACCCAGCCCTAGAGTATTGTCAAATCAAAATTAAAACATGGCCACCACGTGGCAGTCCCCATCAAAGTTTCTCCAGGAACTTTCTAGTGTTGAGTTTTTTGTTTGGCTTGTGGTATCTTAACTTGTTGCATACATACTAGCTTTTACTGAAATTCTGTCAATGCACAAAGATTAAATGATGTCAGACGTCTTTCCACTGATAAGCTTAATAATAATAATAACAATAATAATAATAATAATTTACACTCCTGAGATCCTCTTTGTTTCTCTACTGATGATATTTGCCTCTAAATTACTTCCTCCTATTGCAGCTATTCAACCTTCTGTGATTATGGCTACAGCTTTTGGTTCTTGTGCCATCCATGATTTTTGAAACATTAAGTTTTATTTAAGCTCCGTTATGATATACTGTATTGGGAGATATTCAACAGGCTGATTTTGATCCAATACTGCCCCCTATGGCAACTTCATAATGGACATTCAGAGTGTTAAAAGCTCCAGTCAGTAGACATCAATCCAGGGATCACAGGAATATAGTTTATTCTTGCAGCATCTTAATAATATAAAAGTTAAAGCTTTATGCAAATGAGCCAGCTCTAATCCAAGCACAGTTCAGGCTCATCTGTCAAAGTTTAGTTTAACGCATAGATATCAGACATACTGGAACAAGTACCAGTACTACTAATACTAGTGCTAGTACTACTTGTTCTGATACTAATACTGCTACTTATAGTACTATTACTATAGTAGTAGTACTATTTTTAGAACTTGTATACTATATTATAATTATTTCTAGTACGAGAGCTAGTTTAGTAACAGGACTATTCTAGTACTACTATGATTAATATATTAAAAATACCACTAGTACTAATACTAGTATTAGTAGTAATGGTCTGTTATAGTACTTGTACTAGTGGAGAATTCATACTACTGTATATAGTAAATTGTACACAAGTAGTACACAAAGTGTTATCTTGTTATTACTGAACGTCGCCAAAAGATTAAAGGTACGTAATTAACTTTTGAAGCCAATCCAATTTAAAATGGCCACCACAACTAAATGATCTTAGCAAACACATTAATTACTGTAGCTCAGTCTAGTTTTAAAATATTTAGTTAAAAGCTAAAAGCAAAGCACTTCAAAGCTAGCTGGCTTTGATGTGGGAGTCGCTGAGAGTCATCTTTAACAGATGTGCTTCACACTGTTCAGCTGCTTTACTTAAAGCGGTGGCGTTAGCTGTTGGAGTGAGCCCTGACCGTTAGCAAAATATCTAATGATATGGACGGAATTAAATGAAACTTCCACAAAGCAATTACTGGATGCACATCTACAAGTGATCAAGTCTTGGAGTCAACTCAATTCAAATTGGCTGCCGTGGCTCATTGACCACAAAAAAGGTTAAATCATGTCATCTGGACAAGTTTCTTTAAAGGTGAACACAAAAATGGCTAAAAGTCAGTCAGTTTTACAGAAAATCAGCCAGTATTTAGCTGTATTACAAGCCATACTCAAAGCTATAGACCCCTACAGCTGAATGTGCCTGACTCCACTTGCAGGTGGATCACAGACTTCCTGTCTGACAGGAAGCAGTACGTTAAGCTGGGGAGGGGGGCAGATTTAGGACCATCAACACTGGATCCCCCCAACCACACAAGGCTGTGTTCTTTCTCCACTCCTCTTCCCCCTGCACACCAACTCTTGCTCCTTCAGTCATCAATCTGTCAAACTCCTTAAGTTTGCAGATGACACCCCCCTCATTGGTCTGATCACTGATGAAGATGAAACCACTTCCAGGTGGGAGAATGACCGCCTGCTGACCTGGTACAGGGAGAACAACCTCAAATTTAATGCTTTGAAGACAGTGAAGATGACTGTACAGATGTATACAAGTACGCAGAATTACTCCTCTATATTTAAGTTGCACCGAGACATCAAATCAAATTCCTTGTAAATGCAAATGTACATGACAATAAAAATGATTCAGAGCTTCTGTAGTGAACCTAACCTGATGTCAAACTAAGCCTAAGGTCAAAACACTTGACCTTAAGAACCTTGTGGGACAGAAACTGTTATTTCATTGATCTGCATCCAGAAATACAGTTTGACCCATCCTGAGACTTTCTTTCTTGAATTAATCAAGTAGAAATGACAATTCTCTATGATCATTACTATTTTACAAATGTTTGATAATCAAATTGTGTTAGTTCAAACAATGTCTACAGCTTGTGAAGAGAACTACTCATTTTTATTTACATAAACAGTAAGTAATGATTTTTATTCCTCATTCAAAGAAGAAATCAGGGTAATATGCATTTCTTGATTTTCTGTCTTCAATGAGCAAATTTGTAAGTGTGTTAGAGTTCGAGGTTCGGTCAACTAAAAGTTTACTGAAAAGAAATGTCATGTTTAACTTTTACAGCAGATAATAGGAGTAGAGACTCCACGAAGTCTGAAGTTCTCCAATAATCTTTCTGTCTGTCACTAAAACAATCCTTGACTTTTCATAACACCTTACATCACAAACCACACCTCTGTTCTGGTCCATCGACCAATTAGAAAGCTCTCAACTGAACCGGAAGTCGACCCATTTAAATGTGGCAACTTCCCAGTTCAGCGCTCTGGTGCGCTCTCGGATGCAGCTCATGGAGTTTTTCAGAGCTTGAAAGTTTTCCTGGAGAAGAGTTCCAGACTTTAACTCTCTGAAGAGAGTTAAAGAGTTCAGAGTTCTTGGATGCTAACGCAGGCGTCCAGGATGCTTCTATTGGAATCCAGAATCCAGAGACGATTTTGGGAATTATAACTTCTGTTTGGATAACCTCGCACGACTCTCGAAGTATTTTAGCTGTTCTCAACGGAGACGCTGAAAGAGTCAAAGGAAGGACTTCATGCCGACCTGACCTATCATCAACCAGGTAAAAGTTCTACTTCGACCAAGCGTACCGTGACCAAGCTGAGAACTGAAGGAGCGTGCACGTTTCTGGTCAAACAGATAAATTCCCTCCCACATCTCTCTGTAAGATAAATCTCCATTTTCCATCTTTAAACTCTCCTTTCTCCTAAAATCATCACAGATATTTTTAGAAATGTCTGGAGCAAAGTTCTCAATCACCGCCGTGTGATTGATGTCTGCTGTTTCTGCTGAAAAGTGAGGACAATCGCCGTATTGTCCCACTTCCTGTGAAACTAGCCATGTTATTGTTTTCATATTTTGCCAAATTAATGTAAATGTTTGATGTTAAACTTTGATTCTGCAAATAAATGACCGCATTCATTTTGATGGGTCAAAGATAAATAACGTCTCTCGTTACATTTCTGTTAAACTCAATGCACGACATTTACACAGTCAGAAAAATGAAGAACTCGTGAAATGTATGAATATATCCTGCATATGTCATACTACACTTCCAATATCATGTGAGATTGTTCAATGTTTGACCAAAATGGCTGCAGATTTCATATTTCTCAATAAAAGATCTTGGTCTAAAGTTGTGGCATGAAAGGCAGCAGGCTGTAACACTCCTTCAAGGAATATTACATTTTTATTATTATTTGAACGTGAAAGAGCTATGTCTTGTCATCATTGTATGTTCCCATACAATTTAACCCATCACATGTGAGATACACCCAGGAGGCGCAGCGGACAGCTAGTTAAGTGCCGCGGAGCAGTGAGGGATTAGGTGTTTTGCTCAAGGACACTATGACATGGCGGGAAATTGAACGTGTGACTTTTCAGTTCCAAGTCAGCTGCCCTACTAATGCACCACAGCCGCCTCCCCATTAAATTTTCCAATATAAAAAAATCTCAAAACAATGCAAATTGTGGCTCACTGTTCTAGAAAAACAAAGACCAATAAAGTTTTAGGGAGCACTTCTTTGTTTCTGTACGTTTATGGAGACAAATGGGGAAAGCTTCAGTAAAAACAGATTTGGAAGTACTCAAGTATTTTACTGTGTAACCAAGTATTTAGCTCCTACCAGTTTTGTCCACATCCAGGTTAGGGGTGTAGTCCCACAACATCGGCTGCACAAGTCCCACCAGACCGCTTGCTGTCCCATCGTAACACACAAACATTGAAGAGTATTGGCTCTCAGGCGTCAGTGATTGGCAGGTCGATCTGAATTCTCTCCTCACCTTTTAATGTATCCTGGCTCATACTTCTCATCATATCATCCCACATTATGATGGTCAAGTGTGGCCACGTCTCCTTTATAGCCTTGGCTACTTTTGTCACGTGACTGAGGAAAAGTTGCTCCACCGAATGTCCAGGTGAAGACAGCCACCCTTTAGAATCCTCCCCCTCTCCAAGCAGGTAAACCTCGAGGTGGAGCAGAAACGCACGTGAAAAAGAACCACGAAGCCGAGACTCTCCAACAGAAGAGAAGTTCTTACCTCGTCTGCTCCGATGTGCAGCGTACTTAGACCGGGATGCAAAGACACCACCTGACGTAGCATCTCCATCACCAGCTCCACCCCCTCCTCTTTGTGGGGGTTGAGGGTGCCCACGCAGTGCGGGACCTCTCTGAGGTGCCACATGGACCGATGCTTCAACACAAACTACGAAAGAAGAGCGGGGAAAAGCCCATGGTGGCACAAAATTTATGAATTTAGAATTATTACAGAAGTTATAACAGAAAGCGAAATGAGAGTCAACCATACCTCCATGTGACCAAAGGTCTGCACGAGTGGGATCACCTCCAGGCCTCTGGATTTGGCAAACTCTTGCATGGACAATACTTCCTCTCGGCTAAAATAACACCAAATCGTAAATATCAACTCCAAAGCTTGTTTATACAGTAGAACATTAATTACAACTGCAGTCAGAGGTTTACATAGACTCATCATGGATATGTCAATGATTCGGGGCTTTTAATGATTATATCTGAACTGTTCTTTCACAGATAGAATGATTATAAAACATGTTATTTGATGATTAAAAAGAAAGGTGCACAAGTTTGAATTTATTGGGGATTTTCTCTGATCCACACAGGGACAACTTATATTCATTTTTCATTTATTCAACGTTTATTTATACAGGCTAGTCTCAATGAGCCACGCGGACTCATTTACAAGAGAGACCAGTTCCAGATAGGCCTGTCACAATAACAAATTTTGCTGGGTGATTAATTGTCTCAGAGATTATTGTGATAAACGATAATATTGTTTAAAATTTGACAATTATTAGTCATTATTGTCAAATTTAAGAAGAAATGTTGGTTAATTTTTGTGCAGTACCTTTATCAACCACTGAATAGCAGTATGAGACTGTTTGAACCGAAGGATGGATAGTGAAGGAGCGAGCAGCGTGTCTCTTTAAGAAAAATGGGAGGGAGGCCCCTTGACGTGACATGGGCTGTCTCTTCAGTTCTCAAAATGGTGGACGCTCGGTGTGGTTTGAGCTCTTTAGCATAGCATTTGTCATACAAAGCTTTTAATAAAAAATCATTAAACAAGTTCTCAGCTTCTTTTTGCAAAGAAAAACAACTTTTTAGACGAAGGCACGAGTTTCAACCGTGCATTTTGGAGCTTTGACAAGACAGAGGTTTTTTCCCCGAGGTCGGACTTTTAGCTTAGCTTGTAACTTAGCTTCTCGGCTTAGCTGCTTTTAACGATCCAAAAACGGGATTTTGGACGGTTAAATGGATTTTAAAGAGAAAGTGAGGGGTCAGTGAAGAGCACCAGAGTTGAGCCTTTTGTCATCCAGTGTCTTCAGTAGAAAGAAAGAGACACGAAAAAACGATAAAGCCGATAAATGAAAATGAAGTTGATCATTTTCATTTATCATACGGTTAATTGATTTATTGTTTATCGTGACAGACCTAGTTCCAGACGAACATATAACAACAATAATGACAACAATAACTATAAACTACAGTAAAAATGCAGTTAAAATAAAAGTAGTGTTATAAAACAAATCAGAATGCCGCAAAACTACCCATCACACCCATACACGCTCATTAATGTTTGGGTGAACATCTTTTAGGAACTTGCAGCACAACCACAGGTGTTTTGTAGCCTACAACAAACTCCTGGGTGGATGTGTGGCCTCTGTTCCTGACGGTTTAGTAAAATTGGTTGGTTCCTGGTGGTCGGGGCTTTGGAATAACAATCCCTGAAGCTTAATGTTAGCCTCCATTCAGAAACTTATTTTATGTGTTTGAGATCATTGTCCTACAGGTGTCCCAATCATTATTCCATTCACTTAGTGTGATGCACCAGAGCCACAGCATGATGCTTTCACCACCATGCTTGACCATTGGTGCTGTGTTTTTTACCATGACTTTTCCAAACATACTTCTTGTCATCAAGGCCAAATAACTCGATAATTATGCTTCTTTCTTTGTCAGCGTCCTCTCAGTCCATGGTAATGTAACACTGGCCTCAATGTGGACAGTAACAGTGGACTTCCAGCAGTTTCCAGTCCATGACAGTCTTGGTGGTTCTTGGGTTGTTGCTGAACATTGTAAACAATTTTCTTTTATGAGAAGGTTGGTCTTCCTCTAGGTGACAAAGCTGTCCATCCATGTATCCATTATCTTCCGCTTATTCTGATGTCAGGTCGCGAGGGCAGCAGCTTGAGCAGGGAGGCCCACACATCTCTTTCCACAGTCACATCTTCCAGCTCTTCTGGGAGGGTTCCAAGGCGTTCCCAGGCCAACTGAGAGACATAGTCTCTCCAGCATGTCCTGGGTCTTCCACGGGGTCTTCTCCCAGTTGGACATGCCCTAAGCACCTCTCTATGGAGGCGCACAGGAGGCATTCTTACCAGATGCCCGAACTACCTCAACTGGCTCCTCTCGAGGTGGAGGAGTAGCGGTTCTACTCCAAATCTCTCCCAAATAACTGAACTTCTCACCCTATCTCTAAGTGAGAGTCCAGCTACCCTGCGAAGAAAACTCTTTTCAACCGCCTGTATCTGTAATCTCATTCTTTTGGTCACTTCCCAGAGCTCATGACCCTAGGCGAGGGTAGGAACGTAGTCCGACCGGTAAACTGAGAGCTTTGCTTTACAGCTCAGCTCTCTCTTCACCACAATGGACTGGTACAGAGTCCACAATATAGTGAACCCTCGTTTTTCACGGGGGTTACATTCCAAAAAGAACCCGTGATAGGCAAAATCCATGAAGTAGTAACCTTTATTTTTTTTTACAATTATTATACAATGAAATACTCTATAATACATGCAAACCAAAGAACAAAACCTTTTTACAGGCACAAGCATCCATCCATCCATTATCTTTACCCGCTTATTCCATTTTGGGTCACGGGGGTTGCTGGTGCCCATGTCCAGCAATCACTGTGCGAGGGGCGGGGTACACCCTGGACGGGTCGCAAGTCCATCACAGGGCCACATAGAGACAAACGAGACAAACAAACATTCACTCTCTCACTCACACCTAGGGACAATTTAGAGTTACCAATTAGCCTAACATGCATGTTTTTGGTCTGTGGGAGGAAACCGGAGTACCCGGAGAAAACCCACGCATGCACGGAGAGAACATGCAAACTCCACCCAGAAAGGCCCCTGGACCGGGGTTTGAACCAAGGACCTGCTCGCTGAGAGGCAGCAGCTCTACCAGTTGCGCCACCGTACTGCCCTAAGTGTTTTCAAACAAATTATTTTTAAGGGCCCTGCATACTCATCCGAAGCCACAAAATCAGCTCTCACTGACGCAGCCGTATGACAAAAATCACGTCATTTTGTTCTCGGAGTAGCTTCACCTGCTCCTTCTCAACACAAGGCCCGGGCCAAACTTCTTCTCACTGCAGTACGCGTAAAGTACTGTATGATTGGTCAGAAGTTTGCGGGCGTGTTTGTTAAAGCAGAAAAGCGCTCAGATCTGTACGACTCTTCAAACAAACTAAGTCAGTTGGCCTAAACCTCTTGGATGGAGATAGTATATGGAGGAGTCTGTCTGCAGATAAGTGTGGCGCTCTCTTCATGATAGATTTGTGGCCAAATGGCGGATGCAGGGACGGAGTGGGGACCATGGCGGGAAGAAACCTGTGACGTGACGTGTTCTACAGCAGGAGGGATTTCCCAGGAGCTCTGTGTCTCGTGAACTATGAAAAGTATGAGAACAAATGTTCCAAAACCACGTGACCACAAGTCGACTGTTCGGCTTCGGCTGGAGTATGCCGTGCCTCTTATGCTGAGAAAGTGAAATGAGCAGCTGCAGCCATGACCCCTAATGGGAAGGTTAGTGGAAGTATTAATTAAACACATTCCAACTTCTTGAGCACCACTTATTATGTGAACCTGTATGAAACACATTTTGTGTGGATTATCTAATCGTGTGGAGGAGAGAAAATCTACAACAAGATCAAATATGTGATGTTGTGGTATAATCATTCCACTCTGAAAAGCATAACATTTATGCCAGTGGTAAGTGGGTGGTACTTATTGTTGCAACTGAATGCACTTAAAATCACCAATGAAACGTCACAGTTTTAATATCAGAGCCCATAATGATGGAATAGGTAAAAAAAATCACATGCATTGACTTCATTACCTGTAAGCGGGCTGTGCTGTGGCCTGCAGCAGCTGCAGCCCACTCTCATAAGGAAACATGTCTTCATACTCCACCAGCAGACCATCAGCTCCCAGTTGAGACAGAAGCTCAATCAGCTGAGGAGGAGAAAACACAGACAAGAACAATGATCACTCAGGCATTGAAGGCAACCTGTGCTGCAGTAATAACAAAGCTGTACCCTGTGGAGGTGTTCCACTCGTGGGGGGGCGCCTTTCAAATCCAGGTGAACGAGTTTCTTCCCTTTGGGCCAAGGTGAGCAAGTCATTCTGCCCGTTACTGAACACAAATATTACTCAGATACAGCAGCTGCAGGTGTGTGCTTCCGTTTCCGGTTAGTTTCACTCACCTTCACTGGTTTCTAGGAGAGGACAGCAGGTTGTTTAAAAGTAATGCGCACCTCCGACCAAAATAATTATTAATAATGAATTTATTAATAATGCGCTGTGTATATTTAGAGGCTGTGTGGTTAAAAAACGATCAGTGATCAGATACAACCATCTGTCTATAGCCTGCCTCTGTTATTGTTTACAGCCTTCGTTTCTTTGGCTTCGAACGTGGTCCAATCAAAGCGATGCTTTCTCTTCGGGCTTAACCAATAGAATTGAACGATTCGCGGCTCAGCCAATAGGATTGGTCAATGCATGTCTCAGCCAATAGAATTGGAACAAACGCTGCTACCCGGAAGTGTAAAGGCTCCGGCGGCGATACGAGCTATTGGCGGGGTGTGCGGTATGTTCGGTGCAATTTGTGGATGTTAGGTGGTGGAGGCTGTGAGGTGACATGGCTCTCCTGCGACTGAGAAACGCAAAGGGCCCGAATGCAGCTGAGATAGAGAGAAAAATTAAAAGGTAAGCAAAGATAATAACAAAAACGTGGGAGGCGAAGGGGACTTACTATTCTCTATAAACACCACAGCAGCTAAATTATAAGAAACAGGTTAACTCCACAGTGAAGCGGAAATGTGGGGATTAGGTTGAGCAGTTTCCTGCAGCTGAAGTCCTGTTTCCTACTCCTGGCCTGTGTTCACTGTCAGAAACATGGAAGAGTTACACGTGCTGGCTGAAGCTTTGTGAAACTAAACCAGTTAAAGCTGATGGTGTCTGGGTTACTTCTCTGGAAGCAACAACAAAACCCGTTACATGTAAACAGATACATTAAAACTATAATATTGTAAATACGTTGAAATAGCGGTAAATATAAATAACATTTTTCAACTGATTTTAATCAGTTTTTGCAACTTTGCCAACTTGTGCCATTGCAGATTTTATACTTTGCCTAATCCATAGACGTGCTGATACAGCAGGTGTGTATTGAGAGTTGAAGCCAGCAGTTTTACACAAGATGCCATGTTGTATTTTTGAAACCACAGTCTGTGCACTAGAGACATGGGGTCTTTAAGTTCTGCATTCTCCCTCACCCACAGTCACACAGAGTTACAGATGGATGCGGTGCAGCGTCTGCAGTATTGTGGACTCTGTGCCGGTCCGTTGTGGTGAAGAGGGAGCCGAGCTGTAAGGTTAAGCTCTCTGTTTACTGGTCAGTTTATGTTCCTACCCTCACCTATGGTCATGAACTCTGGATAGTGATAGAAAGAATGAGATTGTGAATACATGCGGTTGAAATGAGTTTCCTCTGCAGAGTATCGGACTCTCACTTAGAGATAGGGTGAGAAGTTCAGTTATCCAGGAGAGACTCAGAGTAGAACCGCTGCTCCTCCACATCGAGAGGAGCCAGTTGAGGTGGTTTGGGCATCTAGTAAGGATGCTCACTGGGTGCCTCCCTAGGGAGGTGCTTCAGGCATGTTCGACTGGGAGGAGACCCCGGGGAAAACCCAGGACACACTGGAGAGACTACGTCTCTTGGTTGGCCTGGGAACACCTTGGAGTCCTCAAGAAGAGCTGAAAGAAGTGGCTGTGGAAAGAGATGTGTGGGCCCCTCTGCTCAAGCTGCTGCCCTGAGACCTGACTTTTTTTTCATTCAACCTTTATTTAGACAGGTTAATCCCATTGAGTCTCGAGGACTCATTTACAAGGGAGACCTGATTTTAATAAAAATGATGACAACAATGAACAACAACTACAACAATAGACAGTCATAAAATAGGCATACAAATTTAAGTTTCTCTCTTTTTAACAAATCAAAACAAAATCAGAGAGTCAGAGAGTCAGAGTCAGAGTTTCTTTATTGTCATTCGCACCTCATGTGGTACATGTGGTGGAGCGAAATTATGTACACAGGGTCCCAGTTACATCCAACAATAAAATGTATAAGAAAAACAGTAATAACATCTAAGATATGAACTAAGAAAAACATCAACTAAATATACACTAAGCACTCATAACATAAAACATTGAACATCACCACAAACATGAACATGAGTCTGTGAGCAGATGTGCACGCATGAACACATCAACATTGAAACAGATCAGCAGCAACATGAAACAGATCAGCAGCAAAATGATATGGTTTTTCACAGTGATTATTCTAGTTAGAGATTCATGAGTCTAACAGCCTCAGGGTAGAAGCTGTTCCTCAGTCTAGTGGTTCTACACTTAATGCTCCTTAACCTCCTTCCTGAGGGGAGTGGGGCAAAAAGTGTGTGTGCTGGGTGGGTGGGGTCCTTCATGATGCAGGTGGCCCTCTTCCTGCATCTGGAGGTGTAGATGTCTGTGATGGTGGGGAGACTGATTCCAACAGATTTCTGTGCAGCCTTCACCACTCTCTGCAAAGCTTTTCTTTCTGCAGCTGTGCAGCCTCCATGCCACACATTGATGCTCGAGCACAGGATGCTCTCCACTGCACACCTGTAGAAGGAGGTGAGGACTGAGCTTCCCAGACCAGCTCGCCTCAGCCGTCTGAGGAAGTAGAGTCTCTGATGAGCTTTCTTGATCAGGCTGGTGGTGTTGTTGCTCCAGCTGAGGTTGTCATTCATGTGTACACCCAAGTACTTGTAGCTGGAGACCACTTCCACCGCAGATCCTCTTATGTTCAGGGGGGTGTAGGTGTTTTTGTTCCTTCTGAAGTCCACAATCATCTCCTTTGTCTTCTTCACATTGATGTGAAGGTTATTCTCTCTGCACCAGCTCTCCAGGTGTTCCACCTCCTGCCTGTAGCTGGACTCATCATTGTTTGTGATGCATCCCACCACCGCTGTATCATCTGCAAACTTAAAAATAGCAACCAAAAGGACAATCAAGAGGAATAGTAACAAAAACATCTAGATTCTAAGGCGATTTAGAAAACTAAAAACTGGAACATGTCTGCATTGGTCCCTGCCAGGAGTCCAACAGATTCTTAAAGCCACTTCGAGAGGTCAAGGTCGAGAGCTTCAGGTCTTTATGTAAGATATTCCAGGAAACAAGAACAAGCAGAAGATAATGGATGGATGTGTTTGGCTGAACATTTCTTAGGAACTTGCAGCACAACCACAGGTGATTTGTAGCCTACAACAAACTCCTGGGTGGATGTGTGGCCTCTGTTCCTGACAGTTTATTAAAATTGGTTGGTCTTGGCAGAGGTCGGGGCTTTGGAATAATAATCCCTGAAGCTTAATGTTAGCCTCCATTCAGAAACTTATTTTATGTGTTTGAGATCATTGTCCTACAGGTGTCCCAATCATTATTCCATTCACTTAGTGTGATGCACCAGAGCCACAGCATGATGCTTTCACCACCATGCTTGACAATTAGTGCCATGTTTCTTACCATGACTTTTCCAGACATACTTCTTGTCATCAAGGCCAAATAACTCAATACTTATGCTTCATTCTTGGTCAGCGTCCTCTCAGTCCATGGTAATGTAACACTGGCCTCAGTGTGGACAGTAACTGGACTTCCAGCAGTTTCCAGTCATCAACATCAAGAGCAGTATACTGTTTGTTAATGGTGACGCTAGGAAATGCAAAATTGCAAAAAAAATTAGGATTTTTTTTTTTTTTAGTTGCTGTCTCACTTACCGGTAATATTTTCATATATTTCTGTGATATTATGTGCAGGGAATTAGCATGCATGTTAATGCAAATGTCCTTCGACATTTCTCCAACACAATTGTGGATGTTGCTCATTTCTAAATTAGTGACCTTTTGGGCTTTATTGAACGTCACTGCATCCTCTCATTATGACTTATGAAATTAAAACCACTGTGTTCACTCTCCCTGAAGCATGGATAGATAATATGTAATTACTTTCAGCCAGAGTGTAATAAAACATGTTTGTCATTTTGTTTTCATGTTTAAATGCACTTCTAAACACACACATGTAAATGGTTTTGTGACTCCAAGTCCAGTTGGTTGTGCATCCCTGATGACTGTAGTCCTGGTGCACCCAGCTCAACATCTCCGGCTTTGTGACGCTTTAGAAATAAGCCCAGAAATGTTTTTTATGTCAGTTTTACTGTCGACCAGTCAATTTGAGTGAGTCTGGCTCATCCCAACCTTCTCTGTTTTGCTCAGGGGTAACGCTCTGAGGCAGGGGTCATCTTGGTGGGGGGCTCGTGGTCTGGTGGTCTTGCTGCTAGTCGCCTTGTGTGCGTGCGCTGCAGCCTTGTGGCTCTACGGGACCTCTGTGGACAGTGACATCACAGAAACTCTGGCCAGCCAGAGGGAGCTGATCTCTCCTCAGCCCAGAGTCTACAGCGTCCCGTGCTCTGAAGACTACAACAACTACAAACGCTATCCAGGTGAGGATCCAGTCGTATAGACATGGTGGCGATTCGAGGAGGACAAATCCAGATACATTTATTCTGATGAATTATAGAATGTTTGCTGTCAGTGCTAAAAGGATAGATGACTAAAAACAAGCAATAAGAGGAAAAATATGTTAAACTGAAAACAAAAACAAACAGTTAATGCACTAATTGTACCAAAAAACAAGCTCATTAAGGGTTTTGCAAATGTGTTGGGAGAGAGCATGTTTTAAATGATTGGACCATGAGACGTGGAGATTATTAAACTGCAAGACAACGCTGAGATTTTACACTACCTGCGAATGAAACCTGCAACCATTCAGTGTATTTGTTTTTTTGTATTTTTACAACACTTTAGGGTTAGCACCGTACAAATACACTAATTACTATTAACATTCATGTGTTTAAAATGACTGAATCAACTCCCTCTTGGTACTGATGAGAACAGGAAGTCTCTTGGCAACTCATTATTGTAATCATTCAATTAGATTTTGGGATTAGGAATAAAATTAAGTAATTTTTTGTAGGGCTGGGCGATATGGACCAAAATTACCATCTCAATATTTTTTAGATAAGTCGCGTATACGATATATATCTCAATGCTTTTTCTTTCCATAAATAACAAAAATATATTTCTGAGTCAAAGCTTTGCCCCAACTGTCACACAGACACATTTATTAACAAACGGCTGTAACTCTACAAAATAAATGTCTAAAAAAATCAACAATTTACATTTATTAAATAATAATCCTCTTCAGCTGCGCCGCCTCCACGACGTTAGTAAGCGTGTGTGAAGCAGCACGTGAGGGAGAAGGAGGTGCTGTGTGAAGTTGGTGCAGACGGGCAGAAAAAGAACTACACGGATTTTCAAGTCTAATGATACTCGATGGTTGTGACAACCATCGTAAATTGAAAAAACTCGTGATACATCGAGTATATTTGACATATTGTCCTGCCCTAATTTATTTTGAGTTGCTTGGAAATAATCTCAGTTGTAATTCCTTCTTTAAGGCCAGTGTTGCTAACAAACCATTTCACCTTTAGGAGTCAGTGAGGATAAGTTCACTGATTAAAACATTTAGATTGTTTTAGTGATGGAGTGTATTTACTGTTGCGATTAGTGTGGGCGCGTGTTTGTTTCTAAACTCTTAAACACTTACTAAAAAGACGTCTGTCTGGAAAAATGTATGAAAACTAGTTTTCAGCTCAGACTTTCTTAAACATGAATTTACTCAGTGTTTAATGTGCAGCATGTAAAGAAAACACAACTTAGTTTATTTAACATCAGAAAGTTGCAGCAAATCTGTGAATTTTGTAACATTTTATAAATGAACATGTTTGCATTGAGCTTTTTTGCATGCTGCTGTTTTAAATATTAGACGGGTTCACACCATGGTGGGGTTGGGTTTACATCAGGGATTGGTTTTGAGCTCCTCCTTGTTGCAGTGATCGTGGACAGGTTAACTGATGAAGTCAGGCTGTAGTCCTCATGATGTTTACAGATGACGTGATCTATAGTGAAGGTATGGAGGAGGTGGACGTTTGCTCTGGGAAAAATGACTAAAAGCCAGTATGAATGAACTTTAATACCTTGGGTAAACCATCCGCAACTTCAGGCTGCACACAGAAACGATGAAGAGAGTGCAGGCAGGGTCGAGTTGATAGAGATGAGCGCCTTGGGAGGAGGCAGCTGTGAGATGGAGGCATATGAAAGTTGTAAACTTCTCCTCTTCTTGTGTCGCCCAGGATGCACTCCTCAGAAATGTGGCCGAGCAGTCACAGATAACGTGGTGACGAGGGAAGAGGCTCAGTTCCTCAGGAGGTAAACGTTGAGTCTGTCTCGCTTCTTTTTCCCTCACTTTCTTTCTTTATCACTTCGTTTGTCTTTTGTTTGTGCAGGCTGGCTGAGAGGGGGCTGGCGCTGGCTGGCTCAGAGGGAGGAGTGAGTATCACTGGATGAAATGAAATATTGTGACTATGAGGCACAGATTAAACAGAAAAATTGGGCCAAAAAAAAGTCCATGCTCAATAATCCAGGTATACAATCCAACAAATTTCAGAAAAATTGGGCATTTGTGGACATCCTTTACTAGCGTGTCCTTAAACGTAAGACAAAACGTTTTCGCACCAAAGCTGTACACTGCAGGGAGTTGGGTGTTCGGCCATTCAGGACAGGTTTTGGAAAACTTTGTTCTGTTGAGCTGTGCCAGAGGAAATAATATCAAGATGTTAAATAAGATAGAAAAGAGACCAGAGAATCAGATGCTTCTGTATGTTGATTAGAGCAGTGGTTACCAACCATGGTCCTTCAGGAACACCATGATGCATGTTTAGCTGTTTCCCTGCTCCAACACACCTTATTCAGGGATTTAATTACCACATTTTTCAGCCTATAAGTCGCGTTTTTTGCATATTTTACATGCTCTGCGACTTATAGGCAAAAGCAACATATTTATGAATTTTTCCCATATTTACAAACCAATTTTTGGCTGAGATATGACCGTTTTCATTCATTCTGACTGAAAAAATTGAACACTACCATTTTTCAGCCGTTAGATGGCACCAGAGTAGTTATATGGCATGCCGTTTTATCATGTAATAGGTAAAAGTGGCTATAATGCCAAATTCCAAAAAGTTCAAGACAAAAAACAAATGGACTTTATTTATTATACTTTATACTTTATTGTTTTTATCTTGAACTTTTTTGAATTGACCATGTCCTGGATGACTGAGAATCTTCACCAGCTATTAATGACACAATTGGCTTGCCGTAGCCTGCCACCTTCGTTCTGCTCGCTGCTTGAAGCAACTGTCAAATCAGCTGCATTTCTATGCACCGCCCTGGCGAAATGCAGCTAATTTGACCATTAAAGTGCATTTATTAAGTAAAAGTTCAATTGAGACACACCTTTATTATAAAGGTGAGCAAACAAATAATTGTTTTAGGTGCTTTTCTTGTCAAATTTTGAAGAAACGCGCAGTGTTCCTCCTTCCTTTTTTCCTCCCTGTCTACGTGCTGTCCAGAGGACCAGATTTAACTTTTTTAAACAGAATTAATGTTTAATAAATGTTAGGACTCTATTGTTTGCTAACAAGTCCTCAGCTCTGGACGCATTTCACTCACAGTACACATGCAACAAAGAGTATAAACTCAAAGCGAGAGCGACACTTGCCCCTCTTTCTTTTCATTCAACCTTTATTTAGACAGGTTAGTCCCACTGAGCCTCGAGGACTCATTTACAAGAGAGACCTGATTTCAACAAAGAGTGATGACAACAATGGACAACAGCGACAACAATAAACACTTATAAAAAGTCATACCATTTTTTAAATATATATATAACAAATAGGATGGCTAAAAAAAGAAAAGTAACAACTAGATTCTAAGGCAAATGTAGAAAACTAAACACAGGAACATGTCTGCATTGGTCCCTGCCAGGAGTCCAACAGATTCTTAAAGCCACTTAGAGAGGTCAAGGTCGAGAGCTTCAGATCTTTTTGAAAGATATTCCAGGAAACAGGAGCAGAGTAGGAGAAGGCCCTTTTGCCTAGCTCAGTCCTCACTGAGGGAACACTGCAGGTAATAATGTCCTGAGAGCGCACGCTGTAGCTGCACTCACACAGAGACATGTAGGAGGAGATGTATGAAGGCAACAGACCAAGAAGTGATTTAAAGATGAAAATGTACCAGTGAGAGAGTCTGCGTGAAGTTAATGATGTCCAGTTAACCAGTGAATACAGGGTGCAGTGATGGGTACAATAATCACAGCCAGTTATGAATCTTAGTGCACCATGATAGACAGCATCCAACATCTGCAGGGTTCTTGTAGGAGCGTTCATGTAAATAATGTCACCGTAATCAATGGAGGGAAGGAAAGTCACAGATACAAGGTGTTTCCTAGCATTCAGGGTTAGACAGGATCTGTTTCTGAAAAAGAAACCCAGTTTAACTTTCAGTTTCTTTACCAAGTTTTCCACATGGAGCTTAAAAGAGAGAGAGGAGAAACGTCTTCTTTCGCGTTGACAACTTTTTTAGTTTTACCGATTGTCAATTGACAATTTTTCAGTCAGGTCATGACCTGACTGAAAAATTGTTGGATTGTATACCTGGATTTTTGAGCATGGACTTTGTTGGTTTATTAGTCATAGTTTTTTTTATTTTTTTTACCTTTATTTATACAGGTAGTCTCATTAAGTCACTAGGACCCACCCTGCAAGAGAGAAGTTTATTTAACTAGCTGTGTGAGCGCCTGAATGTGTTGAAGCTAAATGTTTTTGGCGGCAGAAAGCTTGTTAGCCCATCAAAAAAAAAAAAAAAATCCATAAATTAGCCGCAGCATTTTATAAGCCACCGGTTTCAAAGCCTGTAAAAAAAGTAGCGGCTAATACACCAGAAGGTACAGTAGCTTTCTCCTGCAACCCTTGCATACAAGCCATACTTGTTCAAGTCTTTTTCTAATTAGTCAGTCATATTTTGGTGTTTGCCTGAATCTAGGCACAAGATGGGTCACTATTGAAAATTGGTTTGCCACTTCAAAATCCAAGATGCCGCCACCATTTATACAGGTGCTGGTCCTAAAATTAGAATATCATGAAAAAGTTGATTTATTTCAGTAATCCCATTCAAAAAGTGAAACTTGTATATTATATTCATTTATTACACACAGACTGATATATTTCAAATGTTATTTTCTTTTAATGTTGATGATTATAACTGCCAACTAATGAAAACCCCAAATTCAGTATTTCAGAAAATTAGAATATTACTTAAGACCAAAAAAAATAAAAAAAAAATTTAGAAATGTTGGCCAATTGAAAAGTATGAACATGAAAAGTATGAGCATATACAGCACTCAGTACTTAGTTGGGGCTCCTTTTGTCTGGATTACTGCAGCAATGTGGCGTGGCATGGAGTCGATCAGTCTGTGGCTCTGCTCAGGTGTTATGAGAGTCCAGGTTGCTCTGATGGTGGCCTTCAGCTCTTCTGGATTGTTGGATCTGGTGTATCACATCTTCCTCTTCACAATACACCATAGATTTTCTATGACGTTAAAGTCAGGCAAGTTTGCTGGCCATTTAAGGACAGAGATACCTTCGTCCTTAAACCTGATACTGGTAGCTTTGGCACTGTGTGCAAGTCCTGTTGGAAAATGAAATATGCATAAAGTTGGTCAGCAGCAGGAAGCATGAAATGCTCTAAAATTTCCTGGTAGATGGCTGCGTTGACCTTGGACCTCAGAAAACACAGTGGACCAACACAGCAGATGACATGGCACCCCAAACCATCACTGACTGTGGAAACTTGTCACTAGACCTCAAGCAACATGGATTCTGTGCCTCTCCTCTCTTCCTCCAGACTCTGGGACCTTGATTTCCAAAGGAAATGCAAAATTCACTTTCATCAGAAAACATAACTTTGGATCACTCAGCAGCAGTCTCAGGTGAGACGCTTCTGACGCTGTCTCTTGTTCAAGAGTGGCTTGACACAAGGAATGTGACAGCTGAACCCCCATGTCTTGCATATGTCTGAGCGTGGTGGTTCTTGAAGCACTGACTCTAGCTGCAGTCCACTCTTTGTGAATCTCCCCAACATTTTGAAATAGGTTCTGTTTCACCATCCTCTCTAGGGTGCAGTTATTCCTATTGCTTGTACACTTTTTTCTACCACATTGTTTCCTTCCCTTCACCTCTCTATTAATGTGCTTGGACACAGAGCTCTGTGAACAGCCAGCCTCTTTAGCAATGACCTTTTGTGTCTTGTCCTCCTTGTTCAAGGTGTCAGTGGTCATATTTTGGACAACTGTCAAGTCAGCAGTCTTCCTCATGATTGTGTAGCTACAGAACTAGACTGAGACCATTTAAAGGCCTTTGCAGGTGTTTAGAATTAATTGGCTGATTAGAGTGTGGCACTAGGTGTCTTCAATAATGAACTTTTTCACAAAATTTTAATTTTCGGAGATACTGAATTTGGGATTTTCATTAGTTGTCGCTGTCGATTATAATCAATATTTAAAGAAATAAACATTTGAAATATATCAGTCTGTGTGTAATGAATGAATATAATTAATACACAAGTTTCACTTTTTGAATGGAATTAATTAAATAAATCAACTTTTTCATGATATTCTAATTTTATGACCAGCACCTGTACATATAAACTGACCACCCCATCATTTGAGGAAACTATGCTTTCTAGTTTTTATATTGCCTAAAAGTTTAGTTTCCTCAAATAATTAAAATGGCCCTTCAGGTGGCTAAAGATCAATCTTTAGCAAGCCATCACTGGTCCCCCTCTTGGCTCCCTGGCCCGGTTCTAGATAAACCTGCTCCCTCCGTCACACTGCGGTGCCTCAGACAAGCAAATAAAAATCGTACCTCTTCTCCTACCGACTTGAATATCTTGCACCAAAAAAACATTCAGGTTTATCTGCATTCCCTGTTCAAAAACACTCATCTCAAAAACTACAAACATTCAGTTTTAAGACCCTTCGGTGACGGAGGACGTTGTTGTGTCACTCGTTTGTTTCTGTTTAATCTATAATGGCATGTTCTATTTTTCTGCACTTGAAGTTAGATTTAAATAGTTTTTAGGGACTGGGCTAGACCACAGAAATTTTAATTCCTGATCCGTAAAACCTTTCTCCATGACTGCATGACAAAAATACACCTCAGTTACAACATGCCGTTATTTCTTTACTGTAGTTTGTTCGTGTAGCTGCAGAGGGCAGACTTGTACAATAACTAGAGCTTGTAAAGCCACTTCAAATTATAATCTGAGGGGGGTTTGCAGAGAAATGTTTGTTCCCAGCATGCTCTGCTGCCTCCTTTGGGCCTCGTTTGGCCTCAACAAATACAAAAGTTTTACAGAGTTTTAAGGCGTTTAGGCAAATCCGCCAAAACCAGCAGGGAGACCTTGAAGAAAAACGCCTTAAATTTAGCTCAGAGTCCCGAAGGATCAGAAATATCAAGGAGAGGACAGAAGCAGAGCTTCACAACAAAGGCTGCAGAGGGATGAGTTGGTGACATGTGGATCAACTCCTGCATCTTTTGTTTGTTCCCTCATTTATTATTTACACTAACTCCTGTTTTTTTTATTGACCTCTTCAGGCTTCCATACTGGACTTGCACTCTGGAGCGCTGTCGATGGGAAAACAGTTCGTCAACATCTACAGGTGGGAGAGCACAGATTGTCTTTATTTGATCACCTCACTGTTTGTACTGTTTGTTCGTACACTTTCAGAAATCTATTCACCAAAATGCAGAGTTGCTCATCGATCTTCCTGATGTATAGTCTTTGAGTTGTCCTCTCATCGTCCCGTGACCCATGAGGGACTCATTCATCATCGCTGGCAGAACCCCCCTATCTCACCCCTGTCCCACTGAACATGCGGCTGACGGTCATCAGAGACCATCTGGCTGATCTGAATCAGGAAGCCGTGATAAATTCTGGTCCTACCTCTCACCGTCTCTCCATCCTTGGCTTCCTCTCAGACTGAAACCTTCCTGACAGGAAGCAGTCGATTGTTTAGAGTCTGCTGTTTCAGTTCACTGTAACGGCTGCAAGACTAACCAAACCCTTTTTGCCTCCCGCCTCTTTGTTTTCCTCTGTCTCTTGGGGGATGACTCTGCAGGTATTTTGGAGATCAAATCAGCACCGTGTTCACGCAGGACGATTTCAAGCTTTACAGGTAACTGACTGAGTGAGCTTCATTAAAACTGAGCCATGTATTTATTGCAAGCTGTCAGTTTTGCACCACACGTTTGTGTTTATACACTTTATAACCAAACTTAAACCATCCATCCATCCATCCATCCATCCATCCATCCATCCATCCATCTATCCATCCATCCATCCATCCATCCATCCATTATCTTTACCCGCTTATTCCATTTTGGGTCACGGGGGTTGCTGGTGCCCATGTCCAGCAATCACTGTGCGAGGGGCAGGGTACACCCTGGACGGGTCGCAAGTCCATCACAGGGACACATAGAGACAAACAAGACAAACAACCATTCACTCTCTCATTCACACCTAGGGATAATTTAGAGTTACCAATCAGCCTAACATGCATGTTTTTGGTCTGTGGGAGGAAACCGGAGTACCCGGAGAAAACCCACGCATGCACGGAGAAAACATGCAAACTCCACCCAGAAAGGCCCCTGGACCGGGGTTTGAACCAAGGACCTGCTCGCTTGGAGGCAGCAGCTCTACCAGTTGCGCCACCGTGCTGCTCCCAAACTTAAACCAAAAGGGCAAAAACAAATAACGTAGAAATGACATAAAGGTTCATATAAATTACATACTTCATGAACTGCTGGACAGGTTTGAACAAAATGTCTAAATAAAGGTTGAATGAATGAAAAAAAATACTCTAAAAGAAGTTGTTGGATGTTTATCTACAACTAATTACCTTTTAGCATTGAGGTTCTCTTCGCAGCATGATACTGTTAGCAGCATGGTCCTGTTAACAGCATGGTCCTGTTAACACTATGGTCCTGTTAACAGTATGGCACTGTTAACAATGTGTTTCTGTTGGCAGCATGGTCTTGTTTGCATTGTGGTCCTGTTAGCAGCGTGATACTATTAGCAATGTGTTTCCGTTAGCATCATGGTCTTGTTTGCAGTGTGGCCCTTTCAGCAGCATGCTACTGTTAGCAATGTGTTTCTGTTAGCAGCATAGTCTTGTTTGCAGCGTGGTCCTTTTAGCAGTGTTGCCCTGTTAGCAACGAGGTTCTCTTCGCAGCATGGTACTGTTAGCAGCGTGGTCCTATTAACAATGTAGTTCTGTTAGCAGCATGGTCTTGTTAGCAGCGTGGCCCTTTTAGCAGCATGGTACTGTTAGTAGTGTGGTCTTGTTTGCAACATGGTCCTGTTAGCAATGTGTTTCTGTTAGCAGCATGGCCCTGTTAGCAGCATGGTCCTGTTAGCAGCATGTTACTGGTAGCAATGTGTTTCTGTTTGCAGCATGGTTCTGTTAGCAGTGTGGCCCTTTTAGCAGCATGGTAGTTTTAGCAGCATTGTACTATTAGCAGCATGGTTCTGTTTGCAGCATGGTTCTGTTTGCAGCATGGTTCTATATATAGATAATAAATATAATATAAAATAATGAAATGTGTTTCCCAAGGAAGCTAACAATAAATAAATGACCTGAGCGTCTAAAACCATATTGTCCACAATGTCCAGAGGGCGTCTCAGGAGTCTCACAGCCTGAAGGAAGAAGCTGCTCCAGGCTTCTGCTTGAGGGGACGAGGTGAACAGTTCACGAGCAGATGAATAAATATTAATAACAGATAGACAAACACACGACTGCTCACTGTTCATGGCAGAGGCGAGAAAAATGTTGAATTTTCTGTAAACCATTTTTTAGTTTCAGCTTTAATTATGTGTGATTTCTAAAACCTTCTAAAAGCTTTAAGCAGAATCTTGTTGGTACTTGTTATAAATCAAAGGCAGCACCAGGTCACTTTTAGTCCTCCTGCCAACTTGTACCTTTGCAGATTTGGTGAGAAGAAGCTGCTTACCATGATGAAGGTTGAATGAATGAAAAATACACTAAAAGAAGTTGTTGGATGTTTATCTACAACTAATTACCTTTTAGCATTGAGGTTCTCTTCACAGCATGAAGAGACCTTCGTACCCGCATCTACCCACGTTATATCACCTCGACAATTTCTTACCCACTTTTTACCTCTCAGTCACTTTATTGACTGGAAAACACTTATCTGAATTATTGATTGAATGCTCAAACTATTGAGATCCATTTTTCTTTTGGATGTTTTTCATCACATAACTCATTCCACAGTTTTTGTGCTATTTCAACAGTTCAAATATCAAAACGTTTACCTCATTCGTGGCATTCCTCGTATTACTTTCGGTTGTTTTTGCAATTTGTACTACAAACCAGATTCCAAAAATGACGAGACACTAAACAAATTGTGAATAAAAACTGACTGCAATGATGTGGGGGTGCCAACATCTAATATTTTATTCAGAATAGAACACAAATCACAGATCAAAAGTTTAAACTGAGAGAATGTATAATTTTAAGGGAAAAATCTGTTGTTTCCAAATTTCATGGCATCTACAAATCCCAAAAAAATTTGGACAAGTCCATTTTTACCACTGTGTGGCATCCCCTCTTCTTCTTACAACACTCAACAGACGTCTGGGGACAGAGGAGACCAGTTTCTCAAGTTTAGAAATAGGAATGCTCTCCCATTCATGTCTAATACAGGCCTCTAACTGTTCAATCGTCTTGGGCCTTCTTTGTCGCACCTTCCTCTTTATGATGCGCCAAATGTTCTGTATAGGTGAAAGATCTGGACTGCAGGCTGGCCATTTCAGTACCCGGATCCTTCTCCTACATAGCCAAGATGTTGTGATTGCTGCAGAATGTGGTCTGGCATTATCGTGTTGAAAAATGCAGGGTCTTCCCTGAAAGAGATGACGTCTAGATGGGAGCATATGTTGTTCTAGAACCTGAACATAGTTCTCTGCATTAATGGTGCCTTTCCAGACATGCAAGCTGCCCATGCCACAAG